GAAATGTCATTAGATGTTACAATTTCTTGGGAATATTCCATTATTGTGATTCAGATGCTAACTTCTGAACACTCTGAGATGTTGTACCTGTATGCTAATGAGAAAAACAGCTGACAGACTTCTGTTAGATTTTTTATGGTACTTGTATGCTAATGAGAAGAAGGAACAAGCGTTTTAATTATAGCAGCAGATATGCCATTGTTATCAACAATGGCATTATCATTTCTCTGCCGAGAACGGTTCTCCATGTATGGTGTATTTAAGTGAATTCCTCAAAATTTCTGTACTGTAAAAAACACAGTAACATCCAATTGGATATCTGAATTCTTTCTGTTATGGTCTATTAAAACTGTTGCAAGTCTGGTTTTGATAAATAACAATATTATTCCCTATTTTGGTCTTCAGTTATTGTGTCTCACTAGGAGTTTATTCAGTAGAATTCCAGTCAACTTGTTTTCTTGAAGGGTCGGTGTTATCTTTTCTTTTTGCATCTTCAATGGTTGTTTCTTTAGATGGTTATAATTTGGCTGGAATTTGAGTTTGTTGCTAAGATTTGCTGCTTTTGTGATCGTTTTCAAACAGCTACTTAAACTTGTTTCTGATGGTATGTGAAATGTTCTTTTTAAATAACAGAAGCTGGAGAGGCTTCAAGAAGAGGATCAAGTAGAGAAGCCATTTCAGCGAAAACAAATGAAGATTAGGTTTCCTGAACGTGGAAGAAGTGGAAGATCTGTCATCACAATTAAGAACCTGGAATTTGGTTATGAAGATAAGGTGCGCTGTCATACGAAAACTAAGGAAAGAGGATGCTTGGAGCATCAAATGTTATTCTTGATGACAATGATTAATCATGTTTCATTCATTTAACATTACTACATTTAATGAAGCAGAAACTGTTCAACAGAGCAAATCTTACCATAGAAAAGGGGGAAAAAATTGCAATTGTCGGCCCAAATGGTTGTGGAAAAAGCACTTTGCTGAAATTGATTATGGGCTTGGAGAAGCCAGAAAGTGGTGAAGTTTCACTTGGGGAGCATAATGTCCTACCAAACTATTTTGAGCAGAATCAGGTTTGTTAATGCTATTAATGATCTTCTGTTTTGGCTCAATGTAATAGTTGCACTGCTTCTACTTCATTTTCCTTAGTTGCTAAGCGTGCTTTTATAAATAGGCCATGATCATTTACCAGATTTAACTAAAATTTCTTCTAGGCTGAGGCACTTGACTTGGATAAAACAGTGCTCCAGACAGTAGAAGAAGTTGCTGAAGATTGGAGAATTGATGATATAAAGGGACTTCTTGGACGCTGCAACTTCAAGTCGGATATGCTTGATAGAAAGGTTTCCCTATTGAGTGGTGGAGAGAAGGTACACTAGACTAGCACATATAGACTTTCTATTATTTTCTTCTTTTGAATTATTATTCAAGTTTTTGGTTCTTATGGGCTTATTCTTCAAGGGGGAAAAATACTTCTACTGCCTCTTGCTTATCCACTTCATGTATTCCCCAAGATTATGAATTACCATAAGTGCAATCTGGTGAATCTTCTTAGAAATTATATCTTAATTACAGTGAGTTCCTGAGTTTGTTGCAATCTCAAAACTGAGCTATCATCTTCCACTCCAGTCTCTGTATATTTGGGTTTGTCCTTTATGTGTGTATGCTCCTTATTTATGCCATAGTTTGTAGGTAGGTATCAATTTAGAGTTTGATTCAAGATGCAGTTATCATGTAGGTTGGCGTGATTACCTTTTCTTTATAAAACCAGAGATGAATGGTTCCAGACTTTTTTTTTCTAAAAAAAATTTGTTATTGTTATCTTCTATGTGATGGAGAAAATCTTGGATCTTTTTTGATATTCTCTCTTCTTTGATGTAAAATTCTTTATCCATGTATGGCACTCCCTTGGTGCCTTGTGAATGGTAATTTTTGTTTTCCTTTTGTAAAAAAAAGAAGAGTTGGAATTAGCACATGAATTCTGTTATTGGTCAAATATTCTGAACCAATACTGTTGTGCAACCAGGTGGATTTATACATCAAAGTGTACTTATCTGATCACTGATGCATGTATCGAAGCATGAGCATGAGCGCCAGATTTTATTTGTGCTTGGGCTAAACCCCGTGCTTGGGCTAAACCCCTGACACTTAATTGGCATGCTCTTTTTATCAGAAGCATACATTTTGCTTTGTCATACAGAATATTCTTCATATACAACCATTTTAATCATGTTGTCATGTATACTACTAATGTTGTATATATGTCATAAATTTGGATTTTACATTTTCTGTCATATAGGCACGTCTTGCTTTCTGCAAATTCATGGTAAAACCCTCAACGCTGCTGGTTTTGGATGAACCAACAAACCACTTGGATATACCTTCAAAAGAAATGCTTGAGGTTTACTTCTTTCCCTGTTCTCTCA